TGCCAAAAAAAAAAGAAAGAAAAAAGAAAAGAGAGCATTTGATAACAATAACAAATAATAATGAAAAAGTTTGAAATCCTGCAACAATTACCAAAATCTAACACCAAGACATGCTGTTAAAAAAATAATGCCAACAACAGACTCGCGGGATACAGGTTTATCACAACCTTCAATTTGTTAAACATGCAATAATGTGAAGTGCAGTAAAGTGAGGTGGGCCTGTGTGTGAGTGGCTGGTAAGTACTTGCCTAGGTGCTAGGGAACATTAGTAATCAGGCAAATAAAAATCAAAACTACAGTAAAAGCAATCACTAGAGTAAAAGTAAAAGTAGAAAGACTGACAGCACAAAGTGTTGGTGAGGATGTAGAGCAACTAAAATTCTCTTATGCTGTAAAACACTATAGCCACTTCAGAAAACAGTATGGCAGTTTCTTATAAAGTTATACACACACTGATAAAGGACCTAGCAATCTTACTCCTAAGTATTTACCCATGAGAAACAGTAACAGTGAATTCAAAGTCTACACAAATATTTATAGTGCTTTTATTCATAATAGCTCCATACTGGAAAGACCTCAAATGTGAGCAACTGGAGAATGGATAAACTGTGGAACATCCAAACAATGGAGAGCTATTTGGCTATACAAATGGATTAACTACTGATATACAAACAGTATACTGGGCTAGGAACTCACACATACACAAAAAAGCATATACTGTATGATTCCATCTATGTGAAATTCTAGAATAGACAAAACTAATCTTTAGCACTGAAAAGCAGATTCAGTAGTTGCCTGGGGCCAACGAAGTGACTATAAAGGGGAAGAAGGGGCTTTTTAAGGTAATTGAAATGTTCCACCACTTACACAGGTATATACAATTATCAAAACAACTGATATTTAAAATGAGTATTTTTATTGTATGCAAATTATATTTGAACAGAAGTTACCGACTTTTTTTTTTTTTTTTTGAGACCGAGTCTTGCTCTGTTTCCCAGGCTAGAGTGTAGTGGCACAATCACTGCTCACTACAACCTTCACCTCCCAGGTTTAAGCAATTCTTCTTGCCTCAGCCTCCTGTGTAGCTGGGATTACAGGCACCCGCCATCATATCTGACTAATTTTTGCATATTTAGTAAAGATGGAGTTTCACCAGGCTGGTCTCAAACTCCTGGCCTCAGGTGATCTACCCACCTTGGCCTCGCAAAGTGCTGGAATTACAGGCGTGAACCACCACTCCTGGCCAGAAAAATTATTAAAGTAGATGGGTGGTTGAGAGCTTGAAATGTAAAAAGGGAAAAATAAAACTAGAAAATAATTTGGTGAGGGTGATTTTCAAAACCAAAGAACCTATATAATCATTTGAAACATTCTCAGAAGTGTTTACCAAAAGATTAATGTTTTATAAACAAATATTTAATTTAGCTTCCAAACAGACTCCCCAAATAAAACACTATTGTGCCAGTTCAAAGCCTAATAGAACGTTTCAACAAAATAAGGCTTAAAATACACACACACACACACACACATATATATATATAGTCATTTTCAAAAACAGATCATTAAATACCCTTCCTTCCCTTTGATACCATCTCTTGAAGTACAGATTTCTGCCTTCCCTATTCTCATTATCTCCCTCCTGTTGTATTACCTGAGGGGAGGCCAAGCCCTGAGCATAAGGCGGCAGGCTGTTGTTCTGATCCATGACGCTCACTTTCTTCTTGGCAAACCAGAAACTCTTGGGCTGGAATTTGTCTCACCATTCAATTTTTTCCTAGAGCATCTCCAGCACACTCTTCTCAGCAACTTCCTCAATTCCTTGGGTTATCTTCACACACCAAGAGACAGAAATGCTGCTTTGAAAAAAAAGCCTGAAGTTTAATTTAAGGATTCAGGTAACCTGTACAGTCCTATAAGCCAGTTCCATGGCTATACAAAACACAAACTAGAAAACCAATGAAGCTATTTTGGAATACAATGCCTTTTACCTTATAATCCTAAAGTCTTATTCCTTCCATGTTTCCTGTGATTGCATGTAAAATCGCCAACAAAACAAAAATCATTTTGTTACACATTTAAGTACTCTGATAATGCTCAAAATCAAGGTGTTATAACCAGCATTTAAAACTTCTGGGGAAAAATACCTAGAGAAAACTAATTCCTGAGCAAACTGTAATATCACAGCAGAGTATTCATTACGCACTGTATATACGGTACTGTTAAGCAAAGTTCAGATCTTTATTCCAATTTTATATCCTCTATAATGTGTTGGGCAAAAAGTTAAGTAAATATACTTCAGGGTGATCATTTATTGAGCTCCTACTGTAATAAAACTGTAAAAAAAAAAAGCTGCACAAAGATAAAACACTACATTTTTGTAAATAATAACCTTACCTCTTTAGAACACATTAATGCAAACTGTGCCTGTTATCTGGCTTTTCTTAAATCATCTCTTTACTCACTACATATCTGAAATGAGTTTATAATAATAACATATTCTCACACAGAACTTCAGATCTGAAAGTTGCAAATTATATGTCCAAAGACCCTTCAGGCATATGCACTTCAAGCATGTGCTGGTACAGAGTAGACACTCAGATACTTGCTGAATGAATGAAAGATTCTGAGGATCGCTTTGAAAGGGCTAAGGCCCCCAAAGACTCTGTATCCTACCTACTTATCATTGAAAAAATGACCAAAAAAGCAAGCAAGCAAACTCTGCTTTTGAAAATAAAAATATCAGAGATGTTTTTAAAATTATATTTTTTGACAGTTACCGTATAACAACAATAACAGAAGTGATGCAGATGAGGATGTAAAGATTAGGAGGATATAGTCCTTGGCATCAAAGTGTTCAATATAAAGGGTATGCAAATAATTACTATAAAACATAGTATAATAGCAGGTGTGCCCTAAGCTAAGTTTCTTGAATGTAGAAACCAGTCTTTGTGATCTCTGCATCTAGCACTACGCCTGGAATACAGTATGTGATCATGAATGAGTGTATATATGCCCCTGGAAGAGAAGACATATAGACTAACAGCCAATTACTATGAAGAGGAGCAGTGTTTTCACAAAACAAGGACCATCTAACTTGGGTCTCACAAGGTGAATAGGAATTTGCGGATCAGGGCTTCAGATAAACGAAATAACATTGAAAAAGCATGCAGTATGAAGGTGACATGCTTAGTATGACTGTATAGGTGACTACAGGAGATGAGACAGCACATATTGGTAGGCTCTTATCACTTTTTGCACATAAGTCTACAGAAGAAACCGCACAGTGATTACTGCACTAATTTATCCTCAGAAAAGAGTTGTTTGCTGGGTATCTTCATCTCTTCGAAACTGAAACATCGAATTCGATATTTTTTGGAAGCAATCTAACTCTGCATAGCCTTCTAGTGTCTGTATATCTAAATGAAGCATAGTCTTTTCACAGAAAAGCCTACCTAGAGATTTGGAAAACCATGATGGCCTGAACCGAGAGATGGGAGACCCTGTAAACAAAGTGATGTGTACTATATCTTAAGCGCTACTGTGTCCGCTGTCTCGGGCTTCTGACAAAGTATTTAAGTCTCAGTGTTGGTAGCAAAATAGGCGGGCACAGACCATAGTGAATCTGCCTTCAAACATGGAGAAGCAGCGGATGGCAGGACAGTGCAGAATAAACTTTGGGTCTTCGATGCCAGGGACTGTCCTGTCCCGCCCGCCGCCGCCGAGCCCGCCAGTACCCCGCGCCCCACACTCGTATGATCGGAAGCCGCTTGCGAACCACAGCAGAACAGGCCACCAGGCAGGAGCGGCGGCCGAGTAGCCGTTACAGGCCGGAACGGCGGCAGCACGAGCCGGAAGAACGTCCCCTGCAGGGCCTGCGCGCACCAATTCCTTGTCTCTTCCCCGTCATCGCCCCCAGGCCTCAATGCAGTGGTCGCCTCCGCCCGAACCCTCAGAAAAGAGAACAAGCCGTTACCTGGGTCACTGCAGAAATCACTATGAGCCCGCGGAAACGAAGTTAAACAGCCGGCGGCCCAGTCGCCCGCCACAGCGACCGTGCCCGACCCCACTGAACTCCAGGCGCGCGTTGATAATGTCACTTCCGCCAGTTCTGCCCTCGGCTTCAGCAAATTGTCCTCACTAGGGTGGTGGCCATGCGAAGTGTGGGCACTAGGTCACTTCCTGTGTTTCCGTAGGCGTGGCGCTTAAGGGAAGGAGGGGCGGAGCTCTTGAGGAGTTCCGGGACTGGGCCGCCGCACCACCGCTGTCTCTAATTGGCCTTTGCTGGACACAGGAAAGATCAATTTTAAAATGGTGTGTGTGTGTGTTTAAAGCAACTAGAGGCTTACCTTTGGCAAGTTACCTGACTTCTCCCCCGCAGTTTCTTCTGTAAAATTGAATAATGATGATAATAGTGCTTAACTTTGGGCCGTCTGGAGATTGACAGTCAATGCCTGAGCAGTGCCTGGCACTCAGTAAGCGCGTGCTCCTTACCTGACAGCAACAACGCTAGCTGATCTTCATGCGTGTAGAATGACTAGGAACACTAAGCAAAACACAAGGCGTTTCAGGCACTGTTGTCAAAGGCTCGGTCCGCAGCTGTTGCCTAGTGGGACTTCAGCACGCCTTGATTTTACCTTCTGTAGTTCGTTTTGGCGGAATCTTATATTATACCGCTTGTTTCCTTTGTACTTTCACAACCTCAGGGAGGTTGTGAGCTCTTTAAGGATAGGAAATGTTACATACATTTTGTATTAGCCAGGATAATTTACGCTGTTACCATTATTCCAGTTGCCGTTGCTCCATAGTTTTGGCAAATTTTTGTATGGTCAGACTTTTAAAATTTTGTCCATCTGGGTGAATTCCAATGTTTTCTTCGGAGGAAAAGCAAAAAACAAAAACCTTAATATCTTTTTGGTAATGGGCGGGACCCAACTAGAAAAGGGACTAGTGGCGGGGCGGCCCTCCAGGAGCAACGACTAGTGCGAGATAGAGAGGCCGGGAGCGAGCCTCAGGAGAAGCCGGAAGTGGCGTAACGTCCGGTCAGGGCCGCCATCTCGCCGTGAGACAGCAGGAGCGCGGGCCGCAGTTGCGGACGCTTCAGTGCGATGTTGTCCTCCACGGCCATGTATTCGGGTCCCGCCGGAGACCTGGGGATGGAGCCGCACAGAGCTGCGGGCCCTCTGCAGCTACGATTTTCGCCCTACGCTTTCAACGGAGGGTAAAAACCCTTGAGAGCCGCCGCTTTCCCTTTCGCCCTCCCGCCATCTGCTGAAGCCTGTTTGGGGATCGCTGCCGCGAAGGCGCTGCCCGGATCCCCTGTAGGCCTCAGAGCCCTGGTCTGAGTGGGTCCGCGCAAGGCCGGTCTTCCTGCCGTCCTCTCTTGCGCTGTTTCCCCCCTTTAAGGCTCGCTTTGCTCGAGTTGACTTGGTGGTTGCGATGCAGCCTTGGTTTTCAGGGTTTCCCATTACAGCCTGGTTATTTGGGTCTTTGTGTAGACCGCCACTCCATGCTCCCTGCTGCTATCAGACAGTAAAGTAGAAATTGAAACAGCTTCTGCCCATATGGAAGACCTTTAAAACTAAGCTTTTCGTAGAGTCTGAACACGTTTCTTAAGCCAGCAGGCGAGGATAGAGGTTTAGCGTCTGAGACTTAAAAGTTAGGATTGTTTGGTGTGTGTTGTTAGATACATAGTGTGTCGGTAGCCGAACGTCTAATTGTAGCCGCCTGACTTCCGTTATTTCTAATTGTGCAGTTAGGTCATTGTCTTTTATTTCAAATAGAAGGTGGGATTGGTTGAGCAAACAATTCGTAGATAAGTGCTTTTTTTTTTTTTTTAAACGTTTGGCTTAAGTTCAGGGAAAAAAAAAAATAGAAGATGGACCTTGTAATATGTGTGTTCTTGCATGTTCAAGTTTTGGTTTTTATTTTATTTACCAGCTTTATCCTGAGTAATAAAATTTTCCGTGGTGGTACACCAGAGATTTATGGTTATAGAAAGATGCTCTTGACAGGGAAGAGCTGTAAATTTAAGCAGTGGTTATAGTTATCAATCAAGCTTAGTATATTAAAATATAAATACTCAATTTCGAACCCATGGTTCTTTAAGAAAATGAAAAGTATTGGCTGGGCACCATGGCTCGCACCTGTAATCCCAGCACTTTGGGAAACCAAGACAGGAGGATCCTCTCTTGAGGCCAGGAGTTGAAGACCAGCCCCATCTCTACAAAAAAAAAAGCCTTAAAAAAAATTTAAAAAGCAAAAATATTAATTGCTTTCTCATAAATTTCAAATATTAATGCACATTTTTGGAGTGTGATAGATAACGAAAGACTAATTTTAGCCTTGGTTCTGCCACTAAAGGACAGTGTGGTCTTTGGGTACTTCTGAACTTCTTGAACCTAAATTTCCTTATCTTCCTTAGCAGCTTCATAGTTTTTGGTGAGAAACATGAGAGATGTATTTTGTAAATTGTAAACCATCATCTTATTTAATCCTCTAACACTTGCTGTGATGACTCATTAAGTTGTATATTGTAGGGAGGGTTATTGGACCCATTTTGTAAGACTATTTTCCATAAATAAGTATTTTCAGTGTTCAGTATGCCCTACTCATTACTCACTTTTTAATCCCTTGTAATTCCGTTTAAGCCATTACTTCCCTAAAAGTTACTTAGAACTTTCCGATTACTTTTCCTTAGCCTTTGTTCTTTTTCTTTGGTGTTTATTGCAGCTGGCTCTCAGGCAGTCTTTGCTTCCACAAAATGAGGCCTAGTTCTTTTTTCCTACTCTGTCTTTAAATGTAGTTAAACAAGTCATTAGCTGCTTTGTCACTCAGCACTCTTAATGTCTCCTTCCTGGGAGGATTAATCCCAAATCTGATTTTCTAGTTCTGCCTCTCATGAGTCCCTTGATTCTGGCTTCTTCAGTAAAACATTTCTTTTTATTTATTTATTTATTTTTATGAAGACAGGGTCTTACCATGGTTGGCCAGGCTGGTCTTGAACTTCTGACCTCAGGTGATCCGCCCACCTCGGCCTCCCAAAGTGCTGAGATTACAGGCGTGAGCCACCACCTCCGGCCAGTAAAACGTTTCTAACGGGTTTTTCTCCTCTCATGGTAAATCAAGACAGGTAACAAAACAAAAAGCTAATTATTCCTCTCAATTTTCTCTTCTCCTTTATTTTTATTTTTATTATTATTATTATTATTATTTTTTTTTTTTTTGAAATGGAGTCTCACTCCGTAGCCCAGCCTTGAGTGCAGTGGCACAGTCTCGGCTCACTGCAACCTCCGCCTCCCAAATGCAGGAGAGTCTTCTGCCTCAGCCTCCTGAGTAGCTGGGATTACAGGCACCCGCCACCATGCCTGGCTAATTTTTTCTATTTTTAGTAGAGATGGGGTTTCGCCATGTTGGCCAGGCTGGTCTCAAACTCCTGAATTCAGGCAAATTCAAATTTAGGCAATTCGCTTGCCTCAGCCTCCCAAAGTGCTGGGATTACAGGCATGAGCCACTGTGCCCAGCCTCCTCTCTACCATTAAAATACTTCTTATAATTATGCCATCATTCTGCTCATATAAGTTCTGAATCTTGGATGTCATAATTGATTTTCCCAGTTCCTAACACATTTAAGTAGATATAAAAACTTGTCTATTTTGTGTATTTGTGATGAATTTGGATTTACCTGTTCGTTCCTGTTCACCTGCTACCTTACCATTGTGTTCGTAGTATTAGAACAATATTTCCATCCCATTTCATAATTATGTTATTGTCAGAGTAGTCTTTCTAAAACCCTACTTTGTAAATGGGACTTTTCTCTCTCTTTTTTTAAAGACCAGGTCTCACTCTAATACCCAGGTACAGTCATAGCTCACTGCAGCCTTGAACACCTGGGCTCAAGCTGTCCTCCCTCCTCAGCCTCCTGAGTAGTTACAGCTACAGATCATTCTTGCTCAGAAAACCTTCATGATTCCTTGCTAAAATTTCAAAATCTTTAGCTTGGCATTTGGGATTTTCTACAGTAGGAACCCTGTGCATCACATAAACGTTGTTACTACATGTGCTTATGCAAAAAGGGCCACCTAAATGAGTTGCTCGAATGTATGTACTATTTGAATTATTACCTGTTTGCTTTTACTTGCTGTTTATTTTACCTGGAATGCCGTCATTTTCTATGTGAGAGCTTTAACACAAATCCTACCTCAGTAAAAATAGTGGCTAAAGTTTTTTGAGTCCTTATGTCTGTGAAGCACCATGCCTTAATTTCCACTACAGCATTGAAACAGTGGTTATAGTTACCAATCAAGCTTTGTACATTAAGATATACACACCCAAGTATACACACCTTGTGACACAGGTACTGTTACCATCAACTTGAATTTGGAGAATTTGCCCAAGATGACATACCTAGTATATAGCAAGATGGGTCTCTGTGTCATGTAGTTCCAGAGCCCAGGTGCTTAATCATATTCTAGTGCCACAGCAGTCATAGCTAACACTTACTAGAGGACCAGTTACATGTCAGGCACTACAATAAGGGCTTTACATATTTGATTCTTTGAACACCCTAATGAGGTAGCAACTGATATGATCTCTGTTGTATGTATGGTGAAATTGAGGCTTTGAGAAGTAACTTACCCACAGCCTCCTATCTACTAAATGGGAAAGCCAGAATTAGAACCCAGGCAGTCTGCTTTTGAAATTCATACCGTAAGTCTCTTTGATAAACTATCAAATTGTACAGCCACAGAAGGAAAATATTACTGTTTGCCCATTTATTTGTCATTATATAAGGATTTAGGTATAAAGAAATAGGCATTATAAAAGGACTTGGATATAAAGAAATGAAAAAAAAAAAAAATCCCGTATTCTCCAAACTCACAGAGCTTGCGTTGTAGTACTGCTGTTTGTACCTGATCCTCAAGGGAGCAAATGTAGCATTTAGTTGTTCTGTATTAGTAGTACTTTGCCCGAGTAAGTATTTACTGTGTTGGTGATGATCATTCATTGGCTTTTCTGTTACTTCCTGCCAACAAGACTTTGCCCTGATTTAGGCTTGTTAATAATTTTTTTTTCCAGACAACTTGTAGCCAGGGGTTCATTCTCTTCCCCCTCATCTTTCGTCTTCCCATTTGAATCCTGTTTTTGTTCACATCTGGAGTATTTTACCCCATTATATGCTGTGGAGCATTCTTTTATTTGTAGAAATAGAATTGTCACTCTGGAGAATTAATTTTTTTTGTCTTTTTTCTTCAGTACTGTACTGGCAATTGCTGGAGAAGACTTTTCAATTGTTGCTTCGGATACTCGATTGAGTGAAGGGTTTTCAATTCATACCCGGGATAGCCCCAAATGTTACAAATTGTAAGTAAATATTTCTAAAAATACTTCACAATGCCTTTGTAATGATTTAATGCTTTGAGAGTTTCTACTTCTACATGATTGATTTCATGAGTTTTTAGGCTGCTCGGGAGCAATTTTATTAAAAAGCCATTTTCTAAGTTAATGTTTCCTAATGATTCAATGTGCAGTCTAAACATTTAACATATTCAGGGTACCAACTGCCCTTTCTGTAACCTAAATGTGTTCGCCCCAGCATTTTACTGTGAAAAATTTCATATATACAACAAAAGTAAGAGAGTTTCATAATGGAAACCCATATGCCATCACCTAGGTCTTACAAAGTGTAATTACTTTGTATCACTTTTTCCATATACATTTGTCTTAGTCCATTTTATGCTGCCATAACAGAAGGCCATAGAATAGGTAACCTATAATGAACAGAATTTTATTTGTTTACAGTTCTGGAGGCTGGGAAGTCCAAGATTGAGGGGCTGGTATCTGGTGAGGGCTTCTGCTGTGTCTTAACATGGTGCAAGGGCAGAGAGAGAAAGGAGAGAGTAAATGAGTGCAAGCCCACTCTTAATGATAATGTCCATTCCTGAGGGCTGAGCCCTCAGGACCTGAACACCTGTTCCCAACTCCCAGTACCTTCACAATGGCAATTAAATTTCAACATGAGTTTTGAAGGGGACATTCAAACCATAGCACCATTAATCCATGAAATGGTGGTGGTGTTTTTTTTTTTTAATCTGCCTTCCCACACTTCTTTAAACCTGAAACATTCATCTTAGATATATCCTAAGCAATTATATCCACAGCTCAGTTTTAATAGACTAGCTGTATTTTTCCTCAAACATGAAAATAAAGCCAAAACTTAAAAAAAAGAGCCTGCACAAATTACCTAAATACCTATTGCAGATTAGCAGTGATTTTTACCAGTTTTGGAAATGCTTATAAATGGTCATGAATTCCTGGGTTAAACTTCAATTGTAATAGGAATGGGACTTAGAGGGTTAGGTCCTCTGGACAGGCCCTCCTTGTATTGCAGGGAGTAGGTAAAGAAGGAAGGATCTGTTTTCTTTCCTGGTCCCAGGAATGGCCCACAGCTTAACCCAGAAAAGCGATGAAGTTTGTCTTCGTCTTCCCAGTTCTCTTTCTGTCCGTGTCCATCTTTTGATACCCGCTTTCTGCTTTCTGTTTATAATGCTCTGGTGTTACCTTTTTCTCCTCAAAGATGACACTTGTACAACTTGAAAGTAGTAAATATAAGGAATAAGATTTTAAGACATAATTTTATGGATCTCACTCTTGTACTAGCTTTTACTCATCTTCGTAATGCTTTAGTTATGTTTGTTGCTGAAGTGAGCCCCACCTGTTTTTTTTTTTTTTTTTTTTTTTTTTAATGAAACAAGTCAGGTATAGAGATAGAGAACAGGAACAATGCAGCATTAACCAATGCCTGTATATATCCCTCATCCCATGTCCTGTGGGGCTGACCTATAACCAAGCTTGCCTCTTCCAAACCTGTTTGAGACTCCATTCTTTGCATGAAAACTCCCATTTCTTTGATGCACCTGGATATTTGAGAAAAGGATGTTGAAATTCTAAGATTTTTCCCTGTTGGTATTTTCAACCAGTCTTGTTAGTAAAGGCAGTAAAGTCTTCTAGAGAATTGGAGGTCTTCACATCAGTGCAGTGAGGTTGGTGGTAGGGATAGATCAAGTGATGCTAGTGATGACTCCAGAGGTGTCAGCTGCTCTCCTAGTAGGACGTGTATGGTTTGTGTGAGTCATTCATAAGTTTCCAAAAGGAATTATTTTCCAAAAGGATTATAAGTTTCCAAAAGGAATTAGCGGTTTTCATGGATTATTGAAGCAAGATTTGGTGGCCTCTGCCAAACCAAATAGGTTTCTTTGTAGATTCAGATCAAGATCTGGGAATTAATTTTTGAAATACAGGGTTGAATTTGTATGTCTGTACCAAACTTTAATCCGTTCCATACAGATTGACATTTAGGTTTTGTTTCGTTTGGGGGCGCTTTTAAAAAGTATACTCTCTGGTGAATCTAGACATCCCTTTGCATATTTGTGTAAGGATATTGACAAGCTAGATTTCTAGCAATAGAATTAGTGAAAGTGGTTTGTATTTAAATTTTTAATATACTACCAAGTTGCTCATCTAACAAGTTAATCAGTTTATACTGTTTCCACAACCTCACCAGCATTTAGTTAGGCATTTTTAGCTGGTATAATTGGTTGAAATAGTCTCTTTTTTAGATTTGGATTTCTGAGCAACATAGAGGCTCTTATGTTTATGGTGACTTAATGTCTCTTCTTTCTGTGACTTGTCTGTTCGTAGAATGTTCATAGAATCCATCTTTCCATTATGTTATTACTGCTTTTCTTACTTATAAGAACTCTTTGTAGAATCAAAATTAAACTTTGGTAGTAGATGCTACCAGTATGTTTTGTTAGGGTTTTAAAAAGCTATTCATAAATTTCTCTGTAGAAGTTTTAACTTTTTATAGAGTCAAATTTATGAAATCTTTCTGTATAGCCCTTGGATTGTGTCATGTTTAAAACTACCTTCCCCAGGCTGGACATGGTGGCTCACGCTTCTAATCTCAAAGTGCTAGAGAGACCAGCCTGGCCAGCATGGTGAAACCTCATCTCTACTAAAAATACAAAAATTATCTGGGCTTGGTGGCAGACACCTGTAATCCCAGATACTTGGGAGGCTGAGGCAGGAGAATTGCTTGAACCCGGGAGGTGGAGGTTACAGTGAGCCAAGATTGTGCCATTGCACTCCAACCTGGGCAACAAGAGCAAAACCGTCTCAAAAATAAATCAATCAACTTACCTACCTTCCCCAGCCCAAGATAGTAAAAAAAAAAATCACCCATGATTTATTTAGTCCATTCATAGTTGAATTTTTAAACTCTTTGATCCACCTATCTGGAATAAGGAGTGAGACGTAGGAGTACAGACATCTGCCCCCCACCACCGAAGGGTGGCTGGTTGTCCCATTACCATTTAGAGAATAGTGGGAATAGGAGTTTTAAATGTAAAATTTCCCAAGATATGTTTTACTCTACTATCTAACCAGCTCAGTTTTCTGAAATGTGCTTTTTACAGAACAGACAAAACAGTCATTGGATGCAGCGGTTTTCATGGAGACTGTCTTACCCTGACAAAGATTATTGAAGCAAGACTAAAGGTAGATGCTTTTATACATTTCTACACTATTTTTAAATTAATAGCAATTCATTACATTCATTTAAACCTACAGCATAACTGTTGGTCAGAATAGCTGGAGAGTCACTAGGTTAGTACATTAATTATAAATGTATCCTAGAAATGAAATTTATTATTATTTATTTTTGAGACAGAGTTTTGCTCTTCTTGCCCAGGCTGGAGTGTAATGGCATGATCTCAGCTCACCGCAACATCTGACTCCCAGGTTCAAGTGATTCTCCTGCCTCAGCCTTCTGAGTAGCTGGGGTTACAGGCGCCTGCCACCACGCCCAGCTAATTTTTGAATTTTAGTAGAGATGGGGTTTTGGCCAGGCTGGTCTCAAACTCCTGACCTCGTGATCCACCCACCTCGGCCTCCGTAAGTGCTGGGATTACAGGTGTGAGCCAGTGCGCCCAGCCTATAAATGAAATTATATTATTAATGCAGGGTCATTCAAGTAGCATAATGTGAAACAACAGGACATTCTATTTGTTAAAGTCTTGTATCATATGAAGGGTTCGCTACCCTTTTAGAAGTAGCCTAGGGGGAGTTCTTGTGAAGATACTCTGCCCTCAAAAACAAAACAAATCAATTTCTGTGGCAGGAAAGAGCCCAGGAAAGATTTTACACGGGAGCTTGGTTTGCGGCACCATCAGCTGACAAGCTTTCCCTCTTTACAGTGTTGTGTTCTTAGTTGGCAGGATGCATGAGTATAAATACAAAAGAGTGAATAAGCCAGGAGCTTGGATGAGAAGCACAACATACACCATTAACTTCTATCACCTGACAGGCTTCAGTTGATAGCCAGCTGCCGGAAGTCATGAGAGATCACATTCTGTTTTGCCCATGTGAATAACACTTGAGATTATTTACACGTGTGAGTGGTCACTGGAGTATGTAGTGTCATTTTTTACTGGCATATGCTTTTTGAACATGTAGAAAGGATTTCACTCAATATTTGTCAACTGTTAATACTTTTTTCAAAACTTATATTGAAAGCTATAATGACTTACATTTATTGACAATTTGTGTAATTCCTAATGCTTATTGTATAAATGGGATTTAGAAGACAAAAGTAAACATGGCATTGTTAGTAAAACAAGAAACAGTGGAGTCAACATAATACACACCCGTTCCTGAAGTTTGTCTGTCATACTTTATGAAATGATGAAGTAAATAATTGTTGGTGCTCGGTTTTGAATTGAAATGGAACGAATAATTTTTTATAGTTTTTGTCTTGGAAAGACTATGTAAAATGACTTATCCGTTACTTGTAGTGTAGTTGATCTCTAATCATTTTTTACTGTTTTGACTGTCATTGTTTGATTTTACAGTGCTAGTTAGACATCTATTTATTTATTTAGAGACAGTGTATCGCTTTGTTGCCCAGGCTGGAGTATAGTGGTGCAATCGTAGTTCACTGTAGACTTCATCTCCTGGGCTCAGACGTTCTCCTGCCTCAGTTGAGATTACAGGTGTGAGCCACTATGCCTGGCTTTAGGTTTCTCTTTAGAGATGTTTGCTATATCGGTAACAAAAATTAGCGATCTTAAATTCATTTTATGTTTATAATTTTTGTGAAGTTTCTCTATCGGTGGATAATGTAGGGTTCCCAAGGGTATGGTACAGCTAGGATTTTGCAGTCACTGTATTGTCATGCTAAGACCCTGTTTTGGACGCTTGTTTTCTCTACTGTAGATCTTTTAGGATCACAACCACTGCTGTTTATTAAAATTACGCAGAATAAGGGTGTTCCCTTATGTCTTCTGTTGTCACAGAGATCTGCTCCACAAAGAGAGGGATTTACATCTTTGTTTGATTAGGAATTGGCATAATTTTTTCTGTAAAGGACCAGATAGGAAATATTTTCAGCTTTATGTGCTATTTGAGCTCTGTCACAGCTATTTGTTTCTGCTTTTGTAGTGAAAAGGCAGCCACAGACAATAGTTACAGAAATAGAGGATAGGCTGGATTTGGCCCCTGGGCTGTAGTTTGCTGACCCCAGTCTAGATGCAGAGTGAGGGAGAGAGATAGATTCGAACCCATCTTCCTTAAGCCACTTCATGTGCCCTTTCATGCACATTAGCTCTTGGATTGGCAGTACCTGACATAAGGGTGGTATAGAAAATAGTCTTTAAACCAGAGAGCTGAGGGCAAACTTGGTATTCCTTCCCTTAACATTCTATCTTATTAATACTCTGTTGGTTGAGCATGAAAGAAATTGTCATACTTTCCCCTTTCACTGTGGTGTGCATTTATTCACTTTATATTGTTGCTTGTTCTAGTCTATAGTAGCCTCTGCCTCTACATGCCTGTTCCTTTTATCAATAATTGCAGATGTATAAGCATTCCAATAATAAGGCCATGACTACGGGGGCAATTGCTGCAATGCTGTCTACGATCCTGTATTCAAGGCGCTTCTTTCCATACTATGTTTACAACATTATTGGTGGACTTGATGAAGAAGGTAAAATTCCTGTTTTCTGGAAAACGGCGGGGAAGAGGAATTATTATTTCCTAGATGTATATGTTTCCAGCTAGAGTTGAAAATACCATCTAACACCATTCTCATTTTATTTCTGATATTGAAAGTGACGAAATTGAAGCTGAAAGGGAAATGTATGATATCCAAAGACACGTTAAAGCTCTAATAGTGAATGTTAAGCAGCCAGTTATTTTACTGGTTTCTCAGGATCTTGCATACGATAATAATAAATAATTAGGCATTTTTGTCTTATACAAAGAAATTTGACCTAGAAAGTTTGACCTAAACAGAATTCTGAATATTAAAACTTTTTCTTAACAGACATACTTCCAAAAGTTCTTGAAAAGTCTTAGAAGTCATTTGGGGTAATTAATAATTTGAATCTACTCCAGTTTTTTCAGAACTTTTTGAAATACCTCTTTGATTTTCTGTCAAGAGTCAGACCAGGGGTGTCTGAGAGTATTAGTCTTGTTACTTACTATTCCATCTGTTTTTTGATCCAAAGCTGTGTTACCCCACATGTCTGCCCTGTGGGCATTGATGTTTTCCACCAGTTCTCATTTGGATTGGCTTCTGGTTGCTTCTAAAAAACCAAGTACAATCTCCCAGGACAGATCTGTGTAACCATTTAGAATAGTCCATTGAGATAAGAAGTGACAGAAATCTCTAGATGAGGACATTATTGGAGTAAACCCATCTTTGATGTTCCTTCTGGCTGAACCAATGGCTAGAGTTGCCCTAAAAGTGGTGGCAAAGGAATTCCTGTAAGGGACTGCCCTGAACCTAGTTGGGATTCCAGAACACTGAATCTCAGGGTGATCAGTTGAAAGCATTTAGTGCTGCAGCAGTCCTCTCAACAGACACCAGGAAAAGTTGTGTCCACAGTGAGGGAGTCTAGTTAGGGAGTTTATCTGAGTGTTTAAGGAATTAGGTTAAAGGCTGGGGATAGTTTCTATGTGTTTAGCAACAGGGGTAATTTCTCAGTGTTTTCAAACAGTAGCTTAAACAATATTATCAGTGCCTGGGAATGTTCAAGGCAGGCCTTAGCTTGGGTCTGAGCCTCCAGGGGAATACGTGCAGCTGGCCACATCACAGAGCAGTCAAAGCACTCTCTCTTTCTCAGTTGGACACAGAAGGAAAAGGGGACTGAGGACCCTACATCTCAAGTGTTGACTCCTGTCGCTTTCTGTTCCATGAGCATTTTCTTTGCATGCACTCTCTCTCAGACTCTTAGTATCTGCCCCCATACACATCCTTGGGAAACATACTCATCATTTTACCTACCCTGGTTTAGGTGTAGACAAATTAGGTTGACAAAATTTCTTTTTAAGACTTTCAACTTTACTTGAAAACTAAGAGAAAAAGTATAGAAATAGTAAAAATGGAAATGAATTACCCTTAACCTGGGTAATTAGATTCTAGCTACAGATTAGTTTGCCTAACCTAGCATGCTGGATGCTTCTGGTGTCTTTTTTGACTTAACGTTATGCTTGACTTGAATGTCAGATTAATAGATTCAGATTTTAGCAACATTAAAAATTGTTGCCATTGAATTTCCACAGGCCAGACAGCATCCTTGAGTTTTTCTGAGAGTTAGTCTAATCTGGGAAAGTTCATATTTACTAAGCAGCAGACCTAAGACTTAGGTTTGGCTTTGTTTCACTTCAGAGCTCTGTTCTTTGATTTCCATGTAACAGTGTTCCTAGTTTTGGTGACAACCTCAGGTGTCTCTAGAACTGTCTGTTTAAGCTTGTCTGTCGGGTTGGCTTTATGTGTTCTTTAAACTGATTTTTATTTTATAGAGGAATTTGTGTGAATAATAAAGCAGTCCTCTACCTTCTTTTTCCATTGCCCTCCTGAGACAATTTTTAGCTCTCTTACCTGTATTTTCTGGCACGCACTTCCATTGTCCAAAACTATACTGCACTCTTTTGAGATATCTTTTGGTGGTTTTGTTCTGGTAGATGATGGTTCTTAGCTGTTTTGTGAACTCTTCCTCATTAGTATCCTCCCATAACAACACATCAAACTTTTGATAACATAGACCTTTAATGTTTATATTACGACCAGATAGAGAATCATCTTTGTTGCACCAAGTAGTATGTGTTGATATTTTCTTTCTTGTATAACTCGTTTTTATTTTTTCTCAAATTAACTCTCTCTGTAATTGGCTCAGATTTCTTTAAACTTTTTGTCAGTTCTTTGTACACTCTGAATACAGTTCGTCTGATGGTCAGACCTCACATAATAGGTGGATCTCTTTTCCCTTTGCTTCAGGATGGACTAGTTGTGCTAAGACAGATGCACACTGCCATCCTGAGATTGCACCACATCCTATGCTGTCTTCTTTCTTATTTCCTTATTTTAGAAGAGATTTCTGAAAATTGAAAATGGGACCTTCTTGAGACTTTGCTTTTAGGATCTTTTCTTTACCCTGATGTTCTGAAATTGTATAGTGATGTTCCTTGCCTAGAGTTTCTTATTTATTTTGTCCTTTCTCCACCTTCTTTTCCTCTCTTCCTTCCCTACCCCTCGCCACCTTTTCCACAACCACCTAGATTATGGCCCGGTGCTTTATTTTTTACTCCATATGTTCTCCATCTCTTTGTCTTTTTTGCTCTACTGTATTAAGAGTTCCTTAATTTTAGCTTTTCATTCTTTACTGATTGCTTTTATTTCTGGTGACATTAATTTCTAAGAGCTTTTTCTTATTTTCTGGCTTTTTTTTTTTAATCCTGTTTTTGTTAGATGTTGTGTACTTTCTTTGAAGTTTTCTATATTTCATTAGAGTGCTTTTTTTTTTCCATGTTGTGTGTTCATTTTTAGCTTCTGTCTTCTCTGTTAGAGGCTTCCTTCAAATTTCTGATTTTTTTTCTTTTTTTTTTTTTTGCTGTCCATTCACATTGAAAAGTGTTATACCAAAATTTGATTATAAAAGTCCTTGTTGACATGGCTTGTCAACTGACAGCCATTAACTAGGTGTTTAAGCAGCATTTCCTTCAGATGAAGAATTTCTTTAATTCCTTTTTTTTTTTTTTAGTTGAGTTGGGGTTTCACCATACTAGCCGGGATGGTTTCCATCTCCTGACCTCATGATTTGTCCGCCTCAGCCTCCCAAGTGCTGGAATTATAGGCATGAGCTACCATGCTGGCCAGGAATTTATTTAATCTTTTTTCCTGGAATGAGGTGGGACTATAGGAAGAAAAGCTTGGTTGGCAGCTTTAGGCCTTGGAGGAAGAAGGGGACTGAAAGTCTGTGTTTTGTTTACGTCAGCTTTCCATTTCATGTGTTTTGCTCCTACCTTTTGCTATTCTTGAGCTTGGTCCTCTAAGTCCAGAGCCTCTCCCTAATGTCTCAGGAGACTTCATTTACTGTCTTCGGTGTTGGTGGATGTGGCGACCTGGAGAGCAGTGCTCCATATTGAAACTTTCAGGACAGCAAGGTCCACAGCTGTTTGGTTTGATGTCAGCCACTGTCCACACTAACCTCTCTGTCTTTAATCTCTTTAATCTCTTAATTGCTGTCATGCCTTTAAATTTTTTTTTTTCCAAATTAAAAATGGCTTTAGTTTTTCTTCAATGAAAACAATCAGTACATGTTTATACATTACACTCATGCAGTTTTATATAAGTAGGACTTTGGTATCGGTTTTTCTGTGACTATACATTATGTATTATTGAGATATAAGCTAAGCTATATGCATAATGATTTTGTATTTTTTTTTCCTTCTGTTTTTGCTGCTATAACACAATGATTTTTTAATTGCTGACTTACACAGTATGGCTGTACTGCCATTTACCTAATCAGTCCTCTAAAGGGCATTTGGTTTCCTGTTTTCTTAATATAAACAATATGATGAACATCTTTGTAAATATACTTTTGCATACTTCTCCGATTATGCTTGGCTTGTTGGAATAAACTTCTGGTAGTAGAAGTATTGGGCCAGATATATATATATATATATTTTTGTTGTTGTTGTTGTTGTTGTTGACAACACCCTTTCTAAAGGACACACCAGTACCCTGAGTATCCGATTTTATGTAACCTTCCCAGTATTAGAATTAACACATTTTGAAACGTATCTTTGCCCAATCTATTATTTTAATTTATATTATTTTGGGGAATGTTTTCATATATATATTGACTTTTTAAATCTCCTCATATATTAACTTTTGCCCATTTCCTTCTTTGCAGGTTAGTTTTCTTACTGATTTTCAAGAACTACGTTCAACTGTGTCAACCCTCTGTAATATTATAGATACCCCCAAGAGTGTGATTTTTCTCTTATGGGTGATGTCTTTCACTACACAGAAATTTCTGTGTTTCATACAGTCTAATCTGTCGATAATTTCTTTATGACATTCAGTTTCCTGCCTTGTTAGAAAAACCTCTCTCATCCAAAGCTTACCTATATTTATTTTTTAAAAATGTCTGATTTTATTTTTTACATTGAAATTATTGTGCTTTTTGGATTTTACTTTGACCAGGAAAAGCACTTTGTAATCAAGATTGATGCCATTCTACATTGATTTATTTTTATTTTTTTATTTTGTGTATGTGTGTGTTTTATATTGATTTTACCAGTGTCTCTCTTGCTTTTTCTAGAGAGTCTTTAAAGCCATGTTCTTGGATATATCCCACCCTTTCTTTTGTTTGTTTTTTTTAAATTTGTTATGTGTGGTATTCTGAGATTGGTTCCATCCTTGAGTAAAGCTTTTGGGCCTCAGTTTACTTGTGGCCTGTCAGCCTCATGAGAGATACAACCTTTTTTTTTTTTTTTTTTGGCCTGTACACATTACATCTCTTTTTGTATATTGAGGTTAGTGGGTTGCCTGCTGTGATCTCATGTCTTCCTCAGCTCCCCTCCAGCAAAAACACCACAGTTTCTTAGGTGACCTCAGATGGTGCCTCCACCACCAGAGAATTCAGTTTATGCATTTCTATAGTAGAAAACATACAACACTAATGGTGGTTGTACATGGTTAGTAAGACGATTGTCCCCATATCACATCTCCCTTGGTAACTAAGTTCTGGTATATGATGTGTTTTCCAAATCAGTTATATTTTTAAAAAATCATTATTTTGTAAATTATTTGTGATTTTTTTTAAGCCTAGGTCACAGTGGTTTTTAACAGGCCTTTTAAAAAAATTACAGCATTACCTGTGTTCTTTGTAGTAAACTCAAGTAATACAGGAGCATATGATGTCATTCCCTTTTCTTGCCTCTAATTCAGTACTCATAGATAACCATCCACAGTTTATTTATCTTTCCATACTTTGTGCTTGTACAAATAAATAGTTTTCTTACTCTTTTAAACAAAAATAGTATTATATTATACATGTTACAGAATTTTCTTCTTTTTGCTTTGTCTTGTGGACGTATACTTAAGTTGTGCTTTCCTTCAGGTTCTCTTCATTAGCTTAGAAGAGCTGAGGTATAAAGACTTTCTTATAAACTACTGTTTGAGTTTGCTGATGTGCCCTGCATAAACCTTAACCTTCTCTCTCTCTGTTCTCCCTGCTCTTTTGTGGGTCCTTACCTACTTTGATTGTTTTCTATATTCTCATGGCTTCCAACTCTTTTATGTCTGTAGTGGTTCCAGTCCATGTTTCCAGAGATCATAAAAATGCCTCTCCCCCTCATACTCACCCTTCCTCTATTACCCAGTATTATATTTTAACTTCCAAGCATACAGTTGAACCTTGAACAACACAGCTACACAGGGATTGGGGCTGTCTGCTGGGTGGCACCTGTGCAACGGTGACTGTTCTGTCTTTCACCGTGCAACAGTGTGTGATACAGCTGTCACAGTGTAAAAGTGACTGTGTTCCAACCCTTCCCTGAAGTTTTAGCCAAGATGATAGTCCATTTTTTGTCATGTTTTGACCTGATTTATTTTTGCAGTGATTTGGGATTGTGATTGGATGCCATCCTTATGGATACTGTTTTCTTCTTTAAGGAAAGGGGGCTGTATACAGCTTTGACCCAGTAGGGTCTTACCAGAGAGACTCCTTCAAGGCTGGAGGCTCAGCAAGTGCCATGCTACAGCCCCTGCTTGACAACCAGGTAATACTATGTCCAGGTAATGATACCGTCCAAGTTGTCATGGTGTTCAGCTGAAGTGCTTTCCTCCAAGTTCTCTTCATTAGCTTAGGAGAGCTGAGATACAAAGACTTTCTTATAAGTTACTCTTTGAGTTTGGCTAATGTGCCCTACACAAACCTTATCATCTCTCTCTGTGTTCTCCCTACTCTTTAATGGATCGTAACCTACTCCATGGCTTTGTTTTCCTGTATTCTCATGGCTTCCAACTCCTTTATGTCTGCAGTGGTTCCACCCATGTTTTTAATTTTCTTGCCACCTTTACCTGAAGATCATAAAAATGCCTTTCTCCCTCTCACCCTTTTTGTGTTACCTAGTACTGTATTTTAGCACCCAACCATATAATTGACCCTTGAACAACACAGGAGTTGGGGCACAGTTTCCTGAGCATTGGAAAATCCACGTACAATTTTCGACTCCCGGAAAACTTTACTAATAAGCCTACTCTTGACCAGAAGCCTTGCCAATAATGTAAACTGTTGATTGTCACATATTTTATATATGTATTATGTGCTGTATTCTTATGATAAACTACAGAAAATAGAATATTTAAAAAATAGGAAGAGAAAATACATTTACAGTACTGTACTATATTTATTAATACTGCAAGTTACATTATCTGTTTATAAGGAGAATGATCTGTCTGGAGTGGTGGGCAACCACAGCTTCAGACCTCAATCTACAGTACATTCAAGCAATTCAACTTTTTTTTGTAATCTCATGACCTTCTCTGCTTCTCAGGGAGCAATTCCAACATCACTAGTAGTGCTTTGTTTGGGTCACTTGTTATTTAAGGTTTATAATACTGCACTAAACACAGTGAAAAACAAAGGAGAACCTTGAGAGATCACTTTAATTTGTTATGATCAATTCATGTGTATTTTATGGTAGTAAATGATAAAATAGTATTTACATACAGTTGTGACATACCATTTTCTTAGTTTTTAAAAATATTTTTAGGCTATGTGGCTCATCTGAGTTTTTTCAAATTGTTGCAAGTCTCCAAAAAATTTCCAGTATGTTTATTGAAAAAATTTATGTATAAATGGACCTTAGCAATTGAAAACTGTTGTTCAAAGGTCAACAATGGTGTTTTTTTTCTTTTTTTTTTTTTTTCTTTTTTTGAGTCAGAGTCTCGCCCTGTCACTCATGCTGGAGTACAATGGTGCAATCTCAGCTCACTGCAACGTCTGCCTCCTAGATTGAAGCAATTCTCCTGCCTTGGCCTCCCGAGTAGCTGGGATTATAGGTGCCAGCCACCACGCCCAGCTAATTTTGCATTTTTAGTAGAGATGGGGTTTCACCGTATTGGCCAGGCTGGTCTCGAACTACTGACCTGGTGATCTGTCCACCTGAGCCTTCCAAAGTGCTCGGATTACAGGCATGAGCCACCACGCCCAGCTGGTCACCTGTATTTCTAATTTGTCCCTCCTTTTATTTACTGCTAGCCAAATTCAGATCTGCATTATCAGATTATTGGATTTATTTCCTAACATCCTTTCTGCCTACAAGCTTACTTCCCTAATTCATCCTGCTCAGTTTTCTGAAATACGTTATATAGAGCTACTCTTCTGCTTATTGCTTATTGACCTGTCACCCACGCTCTACCCAGACCCTAACTCTGCTTTTCTCAGAAAAGATGTCTTCTTCCTGAATCCATCCCACATCTTCAGTCTGGAATGTTCTGTGCTCCTCAGTGTAGCCTTCAGCACTCACCTACTCAAAAGTCCTGTCTGCTGAAGGTTGAAGCCTTTCTTCTTCTAGGAGACTTAATAGACAGCTATTGGGGCTCTTCTGGCTCTTACTTTCTTTTAGTTATAATAATTCCCTCATAACTTGCCTCCATATATCTACCTCTCTAGGTCATGTGCTTCTCAAGAGTGGGAGCTTTCCCAGTGAATATGGGTGTAGTTCATCCAGGTCTGGAAGGGTTTGTATTCAGTCTGAGGGACATTTTAATTTTGTGTAGTGTTTTCATCACAAAAATCCTCATATACATGAGGGTATTGTAGGAAACTTGTTATTGTCACATGACATCTCACCAAAGTGTCCTGTCCCACCAGGTTGGTTTTAAGAACATGCAGAATGTGGAGCATGTCCCACTGTCTTTGGACAGAGCCATGCGGCTGGTGAAAGATGTCTTCATTTCTGCGGCTGAGAGAGACGTGTACACTGGGGATGCACTCCGAATCTGCATAGTGACCAAAGAGGGCATCAGGGAGGAGACTGTTCCCTTAAGGAAGGACTGATCTGTGTACTGTTACCACTAATCAGTCCAGACCTGGTTGATTTTGTACTTTGGAACTGTACTTTGGATGGTTTTGTTTATTAAAAGAGAAACCTGTAGTATTCATTTTGCTATAGCCTGTTTTCTCTAAGCAAGACAGATAAATGAAGTAGAATTTCTTTTCATTTTCTTCATTTTTGCCACCCTTTACTATTTTTCAGAGTTTTTTGTTGTTGTTGTTTTGTATTTTAAGTATGAAAAACAGATCATACTAGTTTTTCCTTACACTAATGAGCTAGGAATTTATCTGTAAAAGTTGACCTTTTGGGCAAACTAATGAAGAGGGCTCTGATATTTATTCCACCAGCTTGCCTGAAGGGACTTGGGTTTTATTAAGACGCTAATAGATATAAACGAAGTATCTTTAAGTTAATTTTTCACTTCTGGGACTGTTAAGCAGTCTGGAATAGCCATTTTGGAGAAAATCTTCAACCAAAATAAAATTATGAAAACAAATAACCCTTTACACAAGCTTTAGCCAGAAATCCGGGATAGTTTTCACAAGTACTTTAGTAATGTTATAATTAAGACCTAAGTTTTGATGAGCCAAAATTTTTGTTTTAGATCTATTAAATAAATTTTAACTCCATTATAATATTTGAATAATTTTCTTCTAACTGAACAAGTCAAATTATACCTAACATTGTAGTTATTGTTTGCTTTGTATCAGAACAACCAGTGGTATAAAGGCAATTTTAGTAAGTTGATGGTTAATCTTAGATACCACTTTTGTTTATTTTCCCTTTTATGAATAATTCAAATTATCAAAAGCTAGTAGGTGCACATTGTAAACATTTATTGCACAAACATCAGTACTGTCACTTGCTATCACATGCATTGGGGACACAGTGGTAAAACCTGGTTCATATTTCTCTTACAGTGTCTGTATTAGGGTTCTCCAAAGATTCAGAACCAATAGGATATGTGTGTAGAGAGAGATGAGAAAGGGTTTATTAAAGAAATTAGCTCACTCGATTATTGAGACTGAGAAGTCCTATGCCCGGCTGTCTGCAAGCTGGAGAACCAGAGAAAAAGGCAGCATGGCTCAGTTCAAGTCTGAAGGCCTCACAACCAGGGAAGCTGGTAGTACAACTGTCAAAGTCCTGAAAATCAGTTGGGTGTGAGGTGTTGCTGATCAAGTCCCAGAATCCAAAAACTGGAGAACCTGGAGTTGTGTTGCCCAAGGGCAGAAGAAGGAATCGTCTTGAGGAGAGAGAGAGAGAGAGACGGTGAATTACTTGCCTTTGCCTTTTGGTTCTATCTGGGCTCCATTCAGTTGGATGGTGCCAGCTCACACAGGCCAATCTGCCCTCAGTCCACGAACTCCTAGGCCAGTCTCCTCTGGAAACACCCTCACAGACAAACCCAGAAGTAACACTTTACCTGCTATCTTGATACCCCTTAATCCAGTCAGTTGACACCTAAAATTATCTCAATGTCCCAAGTATAAACTAGACTATCCCATTTGAAATCTATGTTTTTTCATCTTTGTGTATACTAGGTATATTCTTTTTCTAAAGGATTTCCCATTTTGGAATTTTCTATATTACCTAAAATTGTTTGTGGGATTTTCTTTAAAGCTCTCACCTCCCAAAGTTTATAGGGAAGTTCTACAAACTGAGTAATGATTGATGACACATAATTAGTGTTTCATAATGTTTTTTTACACCCTTCGGCTAACATTTTAGCATGGCCTCAATTTTGGAGTCTGCCACCAACTCTCAAATATGCTTGGCATATTGATTTGGCTACTAATTGGGTAGCTTTTATAGTTCATTCAGGCACATTCCTTGTGTGAAAAGGCAGCCTTTGATAAAGATTGGAAGTAGAATTCATTCTTAGAGTTAGCCTTTAAGATTCCAGTGAGAAGCTGCTGCTATGTAGAGACTTTTTCTTCATTCCTGTGTGAGAGGGGATTGAAAGTATCTGATAATATTACAAATGATTGAGGGAAAACTGCTTTCTTTTTGGAGAGGTTAGCCATGACTCCATTTATACACACTGAATGCATGTTTGGATTTGTCTTAATTATCTGACAGATGGCATAAATACTTGCCAGCAGTCTGTTCAGTGGGGCTGTGCTGACCTGGGAGGTTGGAAACAAGTCGAGCCTATGATTGCCAGGTACCACTCTTGTGCCTCCATATTTCCCATGCAGCCATAGTTCCTGTTGTAGTCACAGTGACTTTGCAAGTCTACCCAAGAGGAATATAGACAATTTAGTAGGAAAACAGTATTTCCTACCAAATGTCTCAGCCAAGCATGGTGGCTTATGCCTGTAGTCCTTATACTTTGGGAGGCCACGATGGACAGATCGCAACAGCCCAGGAATTTGAGACCAGCCTGTGCAACATGGAAAACCCCATCTCTACAAAAAATTTTAAAATGAGCCAGGCATGGTGGCACATGCCTGTGTAGTCACAGCTACTCAGGAGGCTGAGGTAGAAGAATCACTTGAGCCCAGGAGGTTGAGGCTGCAGTGAGCTGTGATTGCACCACTGCACTCCAGCCTGGGTTACAGAGCAAGACCCTGTCTCAAAAAAAAAAAAAAGTCTTATTATTACCCTGATAGGTTTATTTTTCTGCCTTTCTGTATCTGTTACCTGGGTGAGCCCTTAATGGCACAAAAGCATATTAACATGCTTTCTGATGGACAGATCAAAGATGGTCGATTAGGACCAGCTCAGGATTGCAGCTTCCAGTGAAAGCATGGAGGGTGAGTGGACACCACATTTACAAACGGATTTTTATTGCCCACAGACCAGGAGATTCCCAGGTGGAGGAGCCCCAAGGGTCACCAGCATGGCTGTTTCGGCCAGCATCCTGGCGCAGTGGGTCTCTGCACAAAATACACAGGTCTGGGCACCATTTTAGCTGGCGATTGGAGCTCCTGGGAGACAGAGTTGCCCATTTAACTGATAAAAAAAGGGGACCGAAGCAGGGAGCCAGGCCAGGAGATTCCAGGGCAAAAAAGCGCTACAAATCTCAGTGCAGCTATTTCAGCCGGCATAGTGTGTCGCTTCACAGGAAATCACACAGATCCCGGCACCTTTTCAACAGGTGACTGGAACACCTGGGAGACAGAGTTACCCATTCAACTGAAAAAAAAAAGGGAGTCTGAGGCAGCAAGCCAGGTGATCAGGCTTGGCTGGTCCCACCCCCACAAAAAAACAGCAATCTGAAACGCTCTGGATTGCGAGTTTCACAGCAAGCACAGCTGAACCTGGGATGATCCAGCTCTGTGGGAGAGGGTCATCCACCATTACCAAGGCAGTCCACCACTACAGAGGTAGTCCGCCATTGCTGAGGCAGCCTGCCATTACAGAGAGAGCCATTACAGAGGTGGGCTGTCATTGCTGAGGCAGTTCTAACTATACCCGTGTAAACAGGACTGCAGGGAAGTTCACAAGGCAGCTGGGCAGAGCCCACAGCAGCTCAGCAAAGCCTCTGCAGGTAGGCAGTGACTAGGCTGCCTCCTTGCTGGGCAGGGCAGCCCTGAAAAAAGGCAGCAGCACGACAGAAACTTATAAATAAAGCCCTAACTAACCAGGACAGAGCACCTAGGAAAAAACGGGTTGGGGGGGGTTGTGAGTTCTGCTGCAGCAGACTTAAATGTATCTGCCCAGCACCTCTGAATGAACAACAGAGCTCACAGCTCAGCACTTGAGCTCCTATAAAGGACAGACTGTCTCCTCAAGCAGCTCGGTGACCCCCATATATCCAAAGAGTCACCTCATACAGGAGAGCTCAGACTTACATTGGGTGGGTATCCTTATGGGACAAAGATAGCAGAAGAAACTGGCAGCAACCTTTACTGTTCTGCAGCTGCATCCCCAGGCAAGCAGGGCCATGAGTGGAACTCAGCAGTCCTACCGCAGAGGGGCCTGAATGTTAGAAGGAAAACTAAGAAAAAGAAAGATATAACTTCATCATCAACAAACTGGACATCCACTGAGAGACCCAATCTGAAAGCCAACAACTACAAAGACAACAGGTGGATAAATCCACAAAGATGGGAAGAAACCAGTGCAAAAAAGATGAAAACACCCAAAACCAGAATGCATCTCCTCCTACAAGGGATCACAACTCCTCACCAGCAAGGGAACAAGGCTGGATGGAGAATGAGTGCGATGAATTGATAGAATCAGGCTTCAGAAGGTGGGTAATAAGAAACTTCGCTGAGCTAAAAGAACATGTTCTAAGCAAATGCAAAGAAACTAAGAACCTTGAAAAAAAATTTGATAAAATGCTAACGAGAATAAACAACTTAGAGAGGATGGAAGTTAATTGATGGAGCTGAAAAACACAACACGAGAACTTCACAAAGCATACACAAGTTTCAACAGCCAAATTGACCAAGCAGAAGAAAGGATATCCGAGGTCAAAGATCAACTCAATGAAATAAAATGAGAAGGCAAGATTAGAGAAAAAAGGGTAAAAAGCAAAGAACTAAGTCTCCAAGAAACATGGGACTATGTGAAAAGACCTAATCTACGTTTGATAGGTGTACCTGAATGTGATGAAGAGAATGAATCCAAGCTGGAAAATACTCTTCAGGATATTATCCAGGAAAACTTGCCCAATTTAGCAAGGCAGGCCAATATTCAAGTCCAGGAATTACAGAGAACACCATAAAGATATTCCTCAAGAAGAGCAACCCCAAGGCACATAATCATCAGATTCACCAGGGTTGAAATGAAGGAGAAAATGCTAAGAGCAGCCAGAGAGAAAGATTTGGTCACCCAAAAAGGGAAGCCCATCAGACTCACAGCAGATCTCTCAGCAGAAACCCTACAAGCCAGAAGAGAGTGGGGGCCAATATTCAACATCCTTAAAGAAAAGAACTTTCAACCCAGAATTTTATATCCAGCCAAACTAAGCTTCATAAGTGAAGGAAGCTTCATAAAATCCTTTGCGAACAAGCAAGTACTCAGAGATTTCATCACCACCAGGCCTGCTTTACAAGAGCTCCTGAAAGAGGCACTAAACATAGAAAGGAACAACCAGTACCAGCCACTCCAAAAACATACCAAGTGGTAAAGAGCATCAACACAATGAAGAAACTG